TTGCAATGCTGAAGTTTTATCTCCACAAATACCACAAGCCTGGAGAAGATTCTGGTGTATGGTGGAGTTGCTAATGCTAACGGTTAGCTTCTACCAGCCATGACTTTCTCTGCTGTTTCCTGGATGTTAAACCACCAACAGCCTTCCCTGTCTCGAGCCATGATGGGTGAGTTCATGAATGCTGAGTGACAATGTGACGTAGATCTATCTGGCTTTTCTAATCCTAGAGTTTCACCGTCTATTTTCTATCAGAAGCTAATGCAGGAGATAGGTGTAGGAGACGATTTTCATGTTCAGCCTGCATGAGAAAATCAGAGTGACCCATTATAATCAGAAATAATCATTTAAATGTTTTTCAGTGTTCCACACCCAGGTATCAATAAGTTGAGTCCAAATATACTTTTCATCCATCTTTGAGAAATCTAAATATTTTCTTTCCAGCTTTCCAAATCAACAAGCATTTGACAGCTTTCTACATTTTCATCTGCTCTGCTGAGGTAAAGACAACTCATATTTGCTGTCAGCGACAGCGGATGCATAACAGCGTTCACATGTAAAAAAAAGACTAAAGCGCAGGCACCGGCCACCATATAGCTTCACTGCAGAAGGCTGCCTCACATCTGCCGTGGTTATGATGCAGCCTTCCTGTTACAACTCAGACCTCCACCTGAGCTTCACTTTCTCTTCAGCCAAAAAAAAAAAAAAACATGAAAGGAACACGAAAAAAACAAATGCTACCAGATTGCTGCAATTACAACAAAGCAAAAGACAATAATGACCAGCAGATGAGTCACAAAGCAACAGAGGTCCCTACAGGGCTCCAGAGTTGTACAGTTACAGAGCAGGTGGAGCATATTTGGAGCATAAGCTGTTTTGGAAATATGAGTGAGGCTTTGACATCATGAAGCCATCTGTTAGAAATGACTGTTTTCAGTGCAGCTCTTTCCCTCACCTGGATTTTGAATGTGATGAATGAAAGGAATCAGAAAGCTCAGCAGGTGCTAATCGTCCTAAAAACGTCACCCTAAATCACGAAACAAGTATGGAGCCATGCACATAGAAACATTTTACCTGGAAAACCAAAACTCAAACACTTCCTGCACTCATGGTGCTAAAACTTTGTCTTTTTCACAACCTTCAGCTGCCTATTTGTTACCTAAATTGAGATTAATTATGTTTTCAGTCATGCAAACTTTTGGAAAAATTGTTTTGTTTTATCTACAAAAGCATAACGGCTCCTACAAATAAAGCTGCTGGGGAAAGAGCAGTACAATATCAGCAAAGCAGCTGTTAAAGGAAAAATGACCTGCACTTGTATTGCGTCTCTCAGAGTAAGGACTCCAAAGCGCTTTACACTACAGTGTATCACTCACCCATTCACACACATTCACACTGGTGGTGATGTGCTATAATGTAGCCGCAGCCATAGTGTTGGCACACCAGATCTCTACCTCTGGGGTGATGTTTTCAACACTTTGCAAGTCTTTCCTGATAAAACATAACCAGGGCATTTTTCTGTAAGAGTATGGACTTTCCCTTTTATCCTAAAAGTGATTTTGATGAAAAAAAAACCTCACACATAAATCAACCCTATTGAAAAGTCTTACATTTTTGACAGTTTCATGCAGTCAGCTAAAATATTTGCAATTATTTTAAATGGTTTAAAAACATTTCTAATTCATAACCTCAAATAAAATCAAGTAGGACATTAAATAAATGGATATTAATTTCCAGCAGATTCAAAACCAGGGGAAAAGTGCTCTTTGGGTGTTCCGCATGGATCTGACATAAGGCCCTTTATTATCTGGTCTTTCTATTAATGATTTCCTGGAACACCGCCTTGTTGCAGATTCATGTATATGATGCGATTACACATGTATTTGCTAAACCTGCTCTAGTTGCAGCTCCCAAGCTGACAATAGTACCAGAGAAGACGATACATTAGCATTATTAATCACATCTGCATTTGAATTTAAACAAGACAACATGAATGGTTCTTTTCTAAAATGACGGTGCAACCTTTTGACATTAATGATCAAATAAATTGTCAAATAATTGAATTATCTGAGTCTAAAACAGACTTATTCCACATGGAACACATGCTTTTGTTTGCTTTAAGCTAAATGATACATTTGCACTTCTTTATCCATTTATGACTTGAATAATTGGTTGGAAATCAGTGCAGAAGTCCATGTGGTAGCAATTATGATAAGAAATCAAAACTGTTGAAGGAACTAAATCAACGTTTTAGCTGCTGTCAAAGACCTTTTCTTGTTCAGGATGTTTTCTGAAAATCTAAAAGCAACTGTTCTCCGTGATAACAGAAAAACACACTTTTACTATAATCTACCCCACAATAATCTTATCTTTGAAAAAGGGGGAGAACAAAAACATTATGTGAGACATTGGAAGCAGCTGAGTTAACCTTGAGGGTAAAAAAAAAAGAAAAAATCCTGAAAAAGAGAACAGAATTTATAAAGAGAAATAGGAATCAGTAATGACAGACATCTCGATCCCAGCTTCCTCTATATCAGCGTCCCTGGAGCCTTTTAATTACATGGAATCCTAATTATAGGAGTCATTTTTGATTGTGTTGTGAGTCTAAGCCAAAAAATGTCTTTACAAAGTGTCAAATTTCAGTGAAAGAGGCTAAACTTCATTCTGGCTTGGGGTTGTTGTGGATTCTTCTGCAAAACACAGTCAGACTTTCAAAATTACGCAGAGGAGCTAAAATGCAAGTGGACCAGAAACAAAACCTCATCAATGCCTTGGTGGTCCTATCTTTGTTATTAGAAATTCAAAGCAATTAAAAATAAATAAATAAAACGTTTCCGCCGAACTCAGCAGACACAACTGTGCTCTCTTACCGAAGAAGAATGCAAGTAAAAGTTGTCCGTAGACTGCGAGTGTGCAAAAAGTGAAACAGGTTTGTTATGTTTGTACACAGATGCAGAAAGTCTGTGGGGAGAAACGCGGTTCCATATGGAGACAAATGTTTTAACAGTCCTGAAGAAGGAAGGAGGAAAGCAGAAACTATCTTCGTCTGGCAGAGAGAAGAACACAAGTGACCATAAGGCAAAGATTTGGCATTTGAAGGTTCGCTCTGCAGCACAAGCGTGATCCGACACCATTTCTTCAAGCATAAGAAAGCCAGTTATGTAAAAACAAACCTGTGTGTAATGAGAGGCGTTACGGATATTTACAATCACTTGCCTAATAAACTTTTCATATTTACTTAGAGGCTGTTTACTTCTGGGACCTCAGGGTGACACAAGCCCACTGATTCAGGATTACAATCAAAAACACAACAGAGACAAACCCCATCGGTGTAAACCAACAGGGTCGGCCTCCTGCCAGACGCAAAAGACAGAGCTGCTGGCAGGAAACCCAACATGGGCTGTTGACATCACAACTCATCCTTGACAGACGTGGAATAACACTTTGGGAAGGGAAGTCTGGAGTAAAACAGTGGGGTCCCCAAAGAGAGGGTTGCAGAAAACATGACTAGGCAGAATTATGCAAGAACAGAAGAAGAATTTGTTTCCGTTTTTCTCTCAAATTGAAGTTTTTGTCCACGCTGTTATTCCATTCTGTCACAAGATCTTTATAATCTATGATTATGCATTACTGGTCCCCGTGCAGCCGCTCAGCAGCCACGCTACTAACAATAAAGATCCTTTTCATTAAAAGTAAACACTAAAGATGTCGTAATTGGCCGTATTCAGAATGTCCCAAAGCAGCTTAAGGATTTCAGGTTCTCTTCGTGAGCTCCACACTGAACCAGGGTTAGTTTTAACGCCTATAATAAAAACGTAAAAGGAGCCAGTAGTTTGTCTTTTGGGGGCAGTGAAGAAGAGGAACAGCAGCTCCATTAGCGTCAAGCAGCTGGTTTTAGGTACAAGTGTGTTAACGGCAGACACTATTTGATCAACATGCAGTAGAAAAAAAAACATGGAATTATTCTAAAGTTATGACCAAGATAACATTAAAAGTTGTTGCTAATGGGTGAGGCCTTAAGCCAAATGTGGATAAATGTGATTGGATGCTCCAAGTGGATTTAGGCTTGGTGTCAGGACGTTGGTTCAACACTGGGAGAAGATTTGGAGTGAGTTTCTTCTCACTGTCACAAGCATTTTAATGGGAAATGCATGTTGGCATCCTGACAAAAGGTACTCCCTGAAATAAAATTTTTTAATGCACAAAGACAGAAATTTTCCAAGAAATAAACATTTGAGAAAACTTAAAGAAGCATATCAAAAAGGTTTTATTACGAATACACCATATTTGACATGAATAAACATGTCAGGATCTGGGGTGAGTCTGCACATTCATCTAATCAACCTCAAGTCGTTGCAGGTGGGCGGCTCTGGAGAGCGGCCAGCTGCGGTGATTTTCCTCATCGACTACCTGCGTTTATAAGGAGCTGGAGATCACTTCACCTCGCCGGAAGATTACTCACTTTGGGTAGCTCTTGCCACTATAGTTAAACTGCAGCTTTAGTCCTTGCCTTGCTATTGTCCGCCGCCGCCGCCGCCGCCGTTGTTGTTTTTGATGACCTCTGCCTTCCCTTTACCAGGAACTCTCACCACTGACCTACTCTACAATAACCTGGTTTTCATCTCCGAGCCTGATCTCCCTCCTCACCCGAACCGACCCGCTCTACCACCACTCACCTCCCTTGGATTTCGGATTATCACTGACGTTGCTCACCCCAGTCCTGGCTACCCTCCCAAGCTTTGGATTTCACCCCCACAGTAAGATCCACTGCTAACTGAGTCCTCCAAATTCTGTTCCCCTCTGCCCAAACCCTGACAGTGTTTGTCTCAACAGACCCAGCCCCGGAGCTGTGCTCAACATCACCGCCACGTCTGGCGGTGCATCTTTAGTTCCTTCAAAATAAAACATTATTCTTTTCTTACCTAAGTCTCCTAGTGTGAATTCTGCATGTCTTGGGTCAGGAAACTTCCCTCAGTCATGACAAAACACTCGTCTTTCCAGGATTAGAAACATTTTTCTTTAATTAGAAGAACTTTGCTCGATTACATTTTTTACATCACTGATTCTGAAGAATTGCCATTGAAGCACAATCAAAGTAGACTTACAGAGAAGCCATGAGACCCTTTCAAAGCTGAGTCTAGTGAGGTGCAACCCCCACACCAAGAGCCTGCCATCCAACCAAAGGCTCAGAGGGAGACTGACAAGCTAATCATCTGCCAAAGTGGAAGCTAGTCATAGACACAAAAACACACACTGAGCAATCCTCCAGATTCAGGAAGAAAAAGAGGCCAGCCAACACATTTCATAAAGAGAGCACCAACAGAATCGGAAACACTTTGTATCATGTTGAGCCAACATTATTCCTGAGGTGACAGCATCTGATTTTAGCACTTAGAGCAGAACGAAACATCTGGAGACCGATGGAGGTCGTGATTTGTATGCACTGCATTAACTGGTTTCATGTGAAACACACACGTCTCCATTTCAAGTGATTCGACTGACCATGCCAGCATTTTAGCCTAATAACCTAAACTCATGATTAGTACTACCGCTTAATCGCAGCTATTAGGAACTGTTGCTGTTTTTCCGTCCGAGTAGGGTGGGGGATATAAATGCTGCGCAGACATGATTCTCCAACACAAGAATCTCCGCCCGTTTAAATATCTCACTGCTGTTGCACTTTTGACTTCAAAGTTTCTCGACTCTCTGGCGGCCACTTGTGGCTCGGGGCTCCCAAGTAACTGCCTGTTGGCACAGGGCACCTTACAATAAAGGTGAATACTTTCTGGCCTTGGAAAAATTGGGATGTCCCAGAAGGAGCTGGGAAGAGCAACTGCTGACCCTGGATCGGTTACCTCCTTGATTTAACTTTGAATAACAAGATCGCAGTTAGGGGTGAGGAATATGCCAATTTGAAATCTTGAAGTGTTTGGATCGTGTCAACAATCTGTCAGCATGGGTCAGTTATAAAAAGGCACCAAGGCAGAAATGAACCGAAACTGTTCCATCAGGAAGGAGGTAAAACATTTGAATCGGGTCATTGAGCTGCACATTTAGTTAAAAAGGAAAAGTCAGAAAGTTAATTCTTTTCAAAAGTTCACCTGATGATGATGTCTGAGGAGAGATCCAATCCAGAAAGAAGTTTTGGAGATCTTTTGTTATTTTATGAAATGTCTATCAACATTTTTTTGAACGGACGGTCCTTTCTGAAACACTATAGCAGAGCTTCTAAACGATACAAAGTACTCATGATTTGTGGTAAACGGGCAAAATCACGGGTACGGTGCCTAAATACCAGTGACTCACTAAAAGCTTGAACCAGTCAGACTGAATAGTGCATTCAGACATCACCAATCTGGTTGTGGTTCTGCAGCAAAGCCAAATGCTGTCTCCCCAAGAGGACGGCAGTATTAGCCAATCATACCAAGTCGTTCCTGTGAACTAATGCTCAACACCATAAGTATCAGGCTTCCCAACGTCAAGCACAGGGGAAGCAAAAGCACACTGGATAGTTGCTCAGCCATTACCATGCAGCACAGGGAAACCATTTCAGAGACTTACTCGGTTAGGTTGCATAAATGTTATTTTGAGATAATAGGTTTCTCCACAAGAGAATACAAGTTCAACTAAATGGCACTTTTTGAGTGTGAGTGAGAGAGGCGCAGGAACACCACCACGCTGTTATCGTTAGGTCACTAAAGACGCTGAAAAACCTCAAACCACTTGGAAAATTACTGATAATACGTCTGGTTTTGGGATGGAGCTTTTCCAAAAAACTAAAAGGAAGCCTGACGAGCCCTGATCTGATTTGGAGAAATGCTTCAAACAAAAACTGACATCGTTCAGAACGACGGGGATTATTTTCGCCGAAAACAGACGTTTCAAGATGGAAGAAGCTTAATGTATGTCTTTCAAGTCCCAACAGAAAAAAATAGCAAATCCGTAGGGTCACACACACACACACACGCACGCACGCACGCATGCACGCACGCACGCACGCACGCACGCACGCTTACATGAGAAAATATACAACCTGGCTTCGCTTTAGTGGCGAATCTGTGACAGAGTTCCATCTAATTCAATCGCACTGGTAGCATATTTATTAGTTTAGACTCTTAACATTTTACACATTTTGCAACCTTCTCAATGACTTTATGTATGACACTTTTAACTTAAAATTTGTGCTACAAACATTTAAATAGCCATCAAACTGTATGAAATATCATTATCAGCAGAGCACTGGTTAGATTAAGGAATTAAGGCCGGAGTTTTACATTTGATACAATTTCCTCACTGTAAACATCATATTCTATGATTTAATTTGAATAAATTTACTAAAATATTTGCTGCAAGCTCAAAGTTGAGGATAACTGCAGATTAGTTGCATTTTGAAGCAGTGGCCTAATGCGTTGGTGCTCTCTTAAAACAAAACTCTTGTTTTGGGGAATAAGATCCCATTTTTAAAGGAAAACGTAAACACCATCAGTAGTATCAGCACAGTCATAATTCTTTTTTTTTAATATTTGCATTTTCTATTTAATAAATTGGAGAGAAAGGCACAACAAAGAAGACTAATTTAGTAAGAAAGATAGTATTTGACAGTTTTAGGGTGCAGACAGGCCATTTTGGCACTTAGACTTATGTTTTCTACTATGAAGTCATGGTCATGAGGATAAGTGGTATTATGGTTTGCTATAAAACTTGACTAAATACCCTTCAGCATCATTACTGTCCTAAAACGTGTAAATTATTTGCACAAGTGCACCCCGTAACCCTTTGCAGTAATGTTTCTGTTAAAAGTTTGGACAACTTTAATTATCTTTTAAATGCTTTATATTGCAATATTTTTCTCAGTTTATCCCACAAGTTATTAAACTAAAGGAAGAAGTGATGATTTAAACTAAAAACAAAAACAGCTGCAGGTTAATAAGCAGCTCAGGTAGTAGTCATTTCATTTAAAAAGTGACAGCAAAAAATGAAGATTTACAGTTTTCCCTTTTAAAAGATCAAACATGTAAATTGTGCCTCTTTTGGAGGCAACAAAACAGCTGAATGACCAATAAGCTATTAGTAAATAATTAAAGTTAATTAAACACCCTTATTATCCATTTATCAGCTACAGAGTGCATGGCACTGGAGATCTTGTCCAATAAACCATGTCGGAGGCCAATCAGGCTAATTGGTTGGTGCTCACTATGGCAACAAGGTTTCTTTGGATGGATCCAAAAATCAAGGCAGGAAATTCAAACAGAAAATAAATTATTGAGCTGACGGATAAAAGATCAGCTTCACAGGAAGAAGTCTTCCACCCATAATGAAGCGCTTTGTGGCAGTAGAAGGGTTTTTGTGTTATTATTAAAATAAACAGAATTTCCACACTGCAAAAAGGAGATGTTAGTGAAAGAACAGCAGATTGAAGTATGGACAATGTCCTCAGAGACACTGTAAAATGTTCTTTGCTGTTTGATCTAAACAACAATCCAGCTGAGGCAACTGGACGGCATCAGGTGTAATCATTTGGCGTCGTTAAGTGAAACCGTAAAAGTTCTCCATAAAAAAACCAACAGAAACAAAAACTAATAAATAAGAACCGCAAGTTGACTGACAGTAAAGTCTACTCTCGCAACGGGTAGCACTGTTTTTGGCAGTGATGAATAAAACCTCATTTCAAAGTCCTCCATCAGGATTTAGCCCCTTTTGACAATGTAAGGCAGTCCAATCCTTTTTAATCAGTGACATCAAGATAAATAATGTCCAGAAGAAACCAACCAAAAATAATCTCTGGGTTCCTCTAACTGCAGGAACCACGGAAGTAACGAGGGACAGCTGAAGAAAGAGACCTTTCAAAGCACTCAAATCTTTAGAGGCAGATTTCTTTTATCACTTGTACTCTGGTCGAATCACTCCAAGATCCCCCCTGAAAGTAAACGCGTCGAGAAGAAAACTTGAAGAATTCCCAGGGGTTTCTCTCGTCGGATGTTGTCGTTGTGTTGCAGTGCTGCATGCTGGTAGCCGTGTTAGTGATCTGGAGGGAGCGGATGTGTTAGACTGGATTGTACTGTTCAGAGTTCACGATGGGATGGCTTGATGCCTGAGGTCAGTCATGACCCAGAGCAGGGCCACCTGAAGGATCACCAGCAGCCAGAGAGTGGGACTCAGGCTGGAGACCCCACCACAGTCATGGTTCTTCTCCTGGGACCAAACAGGGAACAGAAAAAGAGTTATTAAATATTAAACAAGACGTTTTCATGAAACTAGGATCCAGAGAGCTTTCTCACTTTGTTTTTTGACTTCCTTGTAAATTTTTTAGTAAAAGTTACGCTAAACAACCAATGAGCTTGGGATCCATTCAAAATGTGGTGACGCATTTTTAAAAACTGTACCTCAGACACCTTTTTGACATTTTATAAACATAAAAATATCATCAGCGATCAACAACATTTCTTAGAAGACCTTTCAAATCTTTTGGGTGGGGGTGGGAGGAGCAGCTCAGATGTGATTGTTTCAGGAAGTACAATTCGGCTGGAGGAGAAAGTACCTTCAAACTATTTTGACTCTTATTTCCTGATCTTTGGACATCTTGCTTCTGACTGGTTAACTCATTCACTGCCTTAGCATTTTTTACTGTGTGGGCATCGGAACGAGCCCCCGCACCGTGAGAACAAACATCTCAGCTCTAAAGCCAATCTTCATCCGCATACGTCACATGTCACATGACCAGGAAGCAGGAAATCCATGTGTTAGGAGATCGTTTTGGGCCGCTGCTGTTAACAAAGTGAGGCGCGAACCGGAAAAGCTTCTGCCGATCACAATTCAACAACGGAATATGAAAGAACAGATAACGCTCGAAACACGCGGATTCTTCCTGACGTCTCCGCGTTGTTTTGGTTGTTTTGGCATCAACGTCATCCTAGCGCACAACGTTCTGTGACTCTTAAAAAAACAGTAAAAACGGTGAGAAATGCTGGCAGTGAAGGGTTTTACTGATCAGGAAACGGCTGGCAGCGAATGAGTTAACAGCAGCGTGACTCTACCGCTGACTCTGTTTGCTTTGCAATGTTGATGTTTCATCTCCACAAATAACACAAGCCTGGAGGAGTTCTGCCATGTGGTGGAGTTGCTAATACTAATGTTAGCTTCTGCTTGTCGACACATTCTCTGCTATTTCCTCGACGCTAAGCAACAACAGCCTTCCCTGTCAAAGATGGGTGAGACCATGAATGTTAAGTGACAGTGTGACGTAGATCTGTCATTTCAAATCCTAGAGTTTCTCCGTCTATTTTCCATCAGAAGCTAATGCAGGAGATGGGTGTAGGAGACTATTTTCATGTTTTGCCTGGATAAAAACTCAAAGTGATCAATTAGAACCAGAAATAATCATTAAAATGGTTTGTCAGTGAACCACTCCTTTAAAAAGCTTTTGCCCTTTCACTTTGAGCTCCTTTAAGATGGTACTGTTAATTTATTGCATGAAAATATGTTTTACAGGCAGTGCAAGCTAGCAAAGCTTAAAGGGTTACAGCTAAAGTTTCTCACTTGGTTGCAACTGCAAATCATTTGCAAATAATACCCACAATGTTTGAAATGTTCGGAATTTGCTCA